AGATCCCTTTATGAAGAGGTTTAACAGTCAGGCGATAAAACATGATGCTGCTGTTTAATATGTGTCCTGGGAGCACATCAAAGCAGGAGGGAAAGTCAAGTATTTCCACTTCCCTGAAGAGCTGCATCATCATTCACCAGCACTAGCTGGTGGCCCCAGCGCTTAGATGAGAGGGACTGCTGGGGTTATGGGAGGATGAAAAAGCAAAATATGTCAACTTTGAACATTTAGGTACAGATGTGTCTCACATGCCATCGTGTGGCAAAATGCTTTTTGGTATTATTAATGACTTCGTGTGAGTGGTTCAGGGAGGCCAAAGAGGCTGAACAGTTCTGTTCCTGTCAGTTGGAGAAGATAGCAATGCTCCTAATACCATGAGGGATTTAATCACACATGCATGCTAATGTGTTTATAAAGCACCCTACTGCGTGCAGTGAGCTTCTACTATAAAGGGAGAAGAAATTCCCCCTCCATAGGAATGAAAGAGCAGCTGCAGCAATGGCCAGAAATGCCAGCCAGGGTGGGGGGTAGCACCTGGCACCTTCCCCAGGTGCCCCCTATGCTGGTTTGGCTGGGTTGGAGTTCATTTTCTTCACAGTAGCTGGTATGGGGGTATGTTTTTGATTTGCGCTTCAGGGACTTGAAGATGTCCTTGCTTATTGCAGGGGGTGTTGGATTAGATGGATGTTCAAGGTCCATTCCAACCCAAACTGTTCTATGAATCTATAATATTCCATATCATATGGCATCATGCTCAGCAATAAAAGCTGGGGAACAAGGAGGAAGGGGAGATATTTGGAGTGATGGCATTTGTCTGCCCAAGTCACTGTTATATGTGATGGAGTCCCGCTTTCCTAAGGATGAGTGAACACTTGCCTGCCCATGGAAAGTGGTGAATGAATTCCTTTTTTGCTTTGCTTGTGTACACAGCTTTTGCTTTATCTTTTAAATTGTCTTTATCTCAACCCGTGGGTTTTCCCACTTTTACCCTTCCAATGCTCTTCCTCATCCAACTGAGGGGGAGTGAGCAAACAGCTGTGTGAGGCTGAGTTGCCAGCTGGGCAACACCACAACACCCCCCCAAAATGGGTCTCTGGGAAAGGAAGATGGAGGGAAAACGTTTACAGAGAGACTTAACGGTGGAGGGAATTAAGGCTGGAAGGTGAAAGCTTTGCCTGGAGAGTTGTGCTGGAGAAGAAGGATGTCCTGGCAGGATTGTGTGGGATGTGGAGAAGCCCCAGCACTAGTCCTGACCTGCTCATTTCTGCCCTTCTGCCTTTGCCTCTTGTAGAGGGAAAGGCTTTGAGTGAAAGACAGAAATGCCAATGAAACAGCAATGATTTGATACAAATATAAAATGAAGCTTCCTCGCTGAGAAGTCAAGACAAGGCCAAGCTGAACTCCAGCTCTTGCCCTTTGCACATTTATTCAGCAGTCTTGTGAATAACTACACACGTCTCAGGTTCTATGTCCATAAACTTGGGTTAATGCTATTATTCCTTTCACTCTCTTATAGATATGTTGCAAAATTATTTATTTTTTAGATTAAAATTGCTGCACACTAAGTTTTATATGATCTGGACTGGGAGGATCTAGATTTTTAAGAAAGATTAAAAAAAGGAGGAAAGTGATGTGTACTGAGGAAGCTCCAAAAATGTCTCACTTACTGCACCTGAGCCAACTTGCTGGATGTGTAAAGTACACTTAAATTATGAGAATTTTAATATAATTGGAACTATCCTTTTAGAGCATCAGGTTTGGTGGAAATAAGAAAACACTAGAACCCCCCTGCTTTTTCTTGCTGTGCTCAAGATATGTGGTGTGTGATTTAGTCTGACAATTACCCGGTCACTCAGCTCTTACCTCCGTCCTCGCCAGAGCTTGCAGTAATCTGATTGGGATATGGTTCAACTGCCTAACACCAGAGAAACCCTGTCCTGGTTTTTTCATGCTGCTTTTCCATTCCTTCACTGTGTATTCTCTTGCTTTCACTCTCAATACATTCACTTTTCCTGCTGTATTATGAATATTTCCAGTATTATGTTCAAGAGTCACAGGCCCCATTCACAACTGCTTTCCATTAGTTACCGATCAAATGAGTACAGATGACTTCCCTCTCATGTCTTTTTCCTTAGCACATGATAATAAAAAGTTCATTTCCATCACTGGTGTGCTCTTTCCTTGCTATCAGGATGCCAAATGGACTTCCTACAATGTTGTCTTACGTGCCTTCAAAATTATTTCTTTTCCCCTTTCTGTAAGCTAGTAAGATTTCAGGATGTGTCTTTTTGCTACCTAACAATATCTGAGGGCTACAAGAAAATAAAGTTTCAGTGGTTAAATTCCTGCTAATGGCAAATATAATGCATAAATATTAATTATCTTTTTTGCTGTTTTACCTACCTATGTATTTCTCTGGATTTGTAGGTGATCATAATTATCACTCTGCTCTTAATCACTCAGATTTCTTGCATAACCCAGCCCTTTCCTTCCAGCCTGTGATGGTCCGTGTGGTGCTGGGACACCCCTTCTTTTGAGAGTGAGACCTGCAACTGCTGGGTTTCACCTTACAAATGCAGGTTACTTGCAACACTCACTGGCTGACTTACAAAGCAGTACATTAAATGAAATTCCCAAAGGTCAGAATCCGGAGACTTGAGGTTAGAAATGGTGCTACTGTGTGATTGGAAAGGGTTTGGTTGGGGGTTTTTTTGTTTGTTTTGGGGTTTTTGTTTGTTGGTTTTTGTGGTTTTTTTTGTTTTGTTTTTTTTCAGGATTTTTCCCCCCTTTTGAGAAAACTGAATCATTTAGACTACAGGGAGGTCATACATGCTGAAGTTGGTGCCCCAAAACTTCCCATGGCTAAGGGTGAATGGGGCTTTGAAGAACCTGATCTAGTGCAAGAGATCCCTGCCCAAAGCAGTGGTGTTGGATGAGATGATCTTTAAATGGTTCCTTCTGACCCAAACTATTCAGTGATGCTCTTCTTCTCTACTGTCTGAGCAGTCTCTCCCTATTGGCATTTAATAAGGCTTCTGTCTGACCTGTCTGAATTTGTACCTGTGTTGTTATGTGCTTGGAGTCCCCAGATCTCCAACAGTGGTAAGGAGCTTCCCAGCATCTTATGGACTAGGCAGAAGTAGTAATGTGTCTATACAATGAGAATCCATCCTTTTGTCAGCAAAAAGCAGACTAAATTAAGGAAGCAGAGGCCACCTAATTCAAGTCATTCCCAACTTCCCAGTGATGGATGTTTCTACAAGTCACATTTAAAAAAATGTATTGCACATGTGCAAAAATCCGATTCATTTTTGCATGTTTTTGTGTTAACTAGATTTTTTCTGATTAGAATATTTCAAGACACTTAGGTTAATGGTGGAAGATGTCAATCAAAACTTGAGCACCAGGGACTGCTGATCCTGGGGGGACCCTGCCCAGGAAAGGCGGTCCTGAGCCGTCTCCTCACAGCAGGACTTTGCCAGGCACAAGGCCCTGCTCACAGCCACGCACCATAGTGCCAATGCCAGGGTCTTGCAAGGGCCATGCAGGAGGAAATTCTGTGTCAGCAGCCTGTTTTTATCCATGTGCAACAAAACCCCAAGGCCAAGCCTATCCCTAATGGCCGCCACGCACAAACAATGTCCTGATTGTGCCTGGCCGCTGGGACTCTCCTAGAAACACAGTCACTGCGTCCCTATTAATTAAAAACAAAGCCTGCTTCCAATGCTCAGTTTCTGAACCCGTTCTGGTAGCCACACTGAAGCAATCTCTGGGGGGACACAGGTTACTTTAAACTAAGACAAAACATGGGCTCGGCTTTCCCCAACGAGCCGCAACATCTGAAGTTTTGGTGCCACACCATCACCTGCCTGCACAAACCTCCTTGGTGCCACTGGTCTGCCCTTGCTGGCAGAGACTGTGCCAGTCTTTTGCAAGCCTGTTTGTTTGCTATGGGACAGCTTCAGCTTTATTATCTGTGTGATGACAGACTCCGGGGCCACTGCTATTGTTTTATTTGAATTGCAGAGATCTTAAAGAGCCCCAGTCCTGGGCCTTGATCCCACAGCGTCTGGGATGTTCAAATACAGAAAGACCCAGGTGGGTCTTGTTCCTCCTAAACCTCCTGCTGAGCTCCCTGGGCGTTAAGCAAAATAAGTCAGTGCTCCAAACACACAGATGTACAACACGCATCAGACACGAGAGATGCAAACAGGAACATTAAGCCGCCAAGTGGCTGTTAAAAACTTCACAAGGGCAATTAAAATATTAGCATCCTTTCATGTAAGCAAAGCAAACAAAACTGGCCATTAGTTTCAGTTACAGAGTCCTGCATTTTCCTATTGGTCAACTGATGCTTGCATCCATTGATCTGACAACCCATGTGGGGGTACATACATGACTGCACTGGCCTCTGCCTCCACCACAGAGATCAACATCCAAGCTGTGTGATGGGAGATGTGCAGACTCATCCTCTGTCAGCCTTTGTCCATGGAGGAGCTGATGTCATTTCCCCACCTTTTGTTGTTACACAAATGCAGCAAGCAAAGTGGTGCCCCATGCAGTCACTCCCCCTCATCAATGAACCAGACAACTTTATTGTAAGAAAAGTCACTGAGTGCTTGCTGCCACCCACTGTAAACCTCCCTCAATACTTAAATGTTGTGCTGATGATTAATAAAAATAACTACATATGGGTGAGTCACAGGGACGGCTTCATTCATTCATTCAGTTGTGACTGCAACCAAAATAAAAGGTGTTTCCCAACTCTCCATTCCCAAGCGCTATCCAAATCCCTCCTGCAGGAAGGAGCTGACTGACACGGAGGGAACGAACATCAGTATTCACTGAGTTCACTTCAATCCGGTCAGTGTTTGCCAAGCTGAATACTGCAAAACCAGTTAAAACCCTAACTGTGATTCTAAAGGCACCAAGTCCTTGTGCACCACGATTGGGATGAGTTTGGATTTTAAATGGAATAAAATAAAGAGATGAGAAAGGGGTTACCAAAATGTTTAGCCTTTGCTTTATTGAGTTACAACAACTGAGCAACAAGTTAGAAAAGTCAGATTTATTCAAACTCCCTAGCAACCTATTTGTGCAGCGTACTGAAAGGTGGGCAAGTTTTCCAAACCCAGCTCATCAGAGGAACGCACCGGACGGCTCCTGCACCCAGGCTCCTGCTCTCTCTCCATTTCCTCCTCACATGTGCACAGACAGACACTCCCACACAAATCCATATTAGCAGTATTTGAAAAAAAAAAAAAAAAAAGTGCAATCAGGAACCTAGGATTGATCTAAAAATTTAGTGGCAAGGGTTAATAAGAAATTTCTGTTGTGCGCTACAACATCTAAAGCTGGAGGGCAGACTGCTGGTTATGGTGTCCATCACTGTACCAGCCAAAGAAACACAAGTTTGAGTTATGAAGCATCTTAATTTCCTCACTCCAACCCCTCTGGAGGTTGTACTGCAAGTTTAAACAAAAAGTGCTAAAAAAACCCAGCAAATCAAAACAAAAAAAGGCATTCTAGCCAAATCTTCAGAGACCCACAGCTGGGGCTGGCTGGTGAAAAGTGAAGTACAGGAGCTGGAGAAGACTTGCCTTGTAGGAGCACATAAAAGCAGAGATTTAAATACTTCAACCAGTAGCAGGTGGCCATAAAACAAAACAAAAAATTCAAAACAACAAGGGGAAAAAACCAAAACCCACCACTCCAGAACATGTTTAACTGGGCTGAAATGTAAACTGGGGTGGGGATCTGGGCTCAGATGCTGATCTGCACCAAGACGACGCCAAAAGATTGCAACTCTGTCTTAAAACACTTCAGAAAAAAAAATTCTCCTCTCCCTCCCCCACAAAAGACACTTCCCTCCCCCAAACGAACCCCAAAATTCTGCATTATATGCAAGAATAACTTGCATCTATTAAAAAAATTAACAAAATTTTCGTGTTGTACAAATCTGTTCCAGTAGAGGAAGAGGCTGGGCAGGAAAGTTGGGGGGGGGAGAAACTGAAGAGAAATCTATGTACAAGGACCCTTTTCTCTTTCTTTTCTTTTGAAATGCAGTAGTAGGACTTTGCGACTCCAAGTCTCAAGCGCCACTTGTGGAGGCACAGCGAGAAATACTCTTGTGGAGTGTCATCAGGGAATCGTCGATAGTGCCAAACACGCTATCTCACCCCAGGCAGGAAAACAGAGTTTTCTTCTATTTTCAGACAGCATTTCCCCTCCAATGTCAGGACAGTGCAGCTGAGGAGTACCCCTGCAAAAATTATAAAAGTAGCATATTATTTTTGAAGGCACTATGAACAACTAACTAACTAGCTGTTAACTAACATGGCATTCCAGTTTACATCCCTGCACACACAGTAACTCTGTATTTTCTATTAACTGTACTCTGAAGCCTATCCTTATCACAGCCTGATGTGGTAGGGTGCTGTAGTTTTGCTGCATGTTAACACCCAGTTAATAATCCCCTATGGATTTCTAACAAGGATATACAGCCTTAACTCAGCAGATTCTCACACTGACTCAAAGATGATGTGCACACATGTTTGGGGTAGCTACTTTGTGACCACAGGACATATAGTGCTAAAACCGAGAAGACCTCAGGTCTTTCTCCCCCAGTAAATTCCCTCATAATACTTCTTGTTTTGCACTATTTTAAAAAACGATAAAAACTGCAAGACAATGGAAAAAACTGGATGTGCCTGTGCTCTGCAGAGCAGCTCCCTGGCTCTGCTATGACTCCTGCACATACATAAAGGCTGTGCCATGGACCAGAGATTAAAAAATAACCCCCCAACACACAATCTTCAGATAGCCACCAATCTACATGTATCCCCAGTTCCCAGCACAGAGCAAGGGCTCTATGACAAGGGTCATGTTCAGCATGTTCTTCCCCTCTCAGGTGTAAACGTGCAAGAAGTGCAAACATCCACTCCTGCTGGAGCTGCATGAGATGGTTTTCCTGCACCATCCTCCTCACCCATCCTGCAGCAGTGCTTCCCAAAACCTGAACTAAGCCATTATTTCACACCTGGTATAGATGTTGCTATTTGGTCTGTTATTTCCCACAGAAATAGTGAGCTCTGTCTGGCATCTGCAACGCAGAGAACAACACAGTCACACCCAGGAAAAGGACTGCCTCGCACCAACATCAAGGGGAAAAGTCCTCCCCATCCTTGAGACCTTTCCTCAAACAGGTCCCCACTCCTCTTGACTCAGTGGAAAATTTTAATTGCAGCGTTGGGTTTTGCATCTCCCCCTGAAGTCCTTCATTACATTAGAACTTAGGTCTTCAGGGCGCCTCACTGGTTTCAGGGGAAAAAAGCACATCCTCCCTACTTCATTCTCATTCCTTCAAATGCTTTAGGGTGACCTAAATTCTGCAAAAACCAGTAGTCAAACTCACGCTGATTTACTTCAGGATGGTGCCTTGGAGCACAGCACCAGTAACAGGCACTGTAGCTAGTCTTTTAGAGGAAACCCTAAACCACAAGAAGAGTGAGAACTTGAGCAGAAAGCAAGAGAAGCCCCAGTGCTGTTCCCTTTTACCAGTTTTGGGCACCAAGGAACGGGAACATATTGTGCCACCAGCAAACGTGATCTCAGCTCCTGTAGCAGTGCAGAAGGGGTTGGAAATGCCAAAAGAAACCAGACTACCTCTGATGCCTAGCATCTGCATACAGCATCTGCAAGGGGCAACTGTCTTCAGACCTTTTTTTTTCTGGGACATCTCCACAGACCCTACCCAGAGCCAGGGCACACATCTTCCAGGGTGTCCACCTACCTCGCTCCCACCGTGAGTCATAAACTTTAGTGTCTACATCTTGCAAGGTTCAGGATTAAAAATGGAGGTAATGAAATAACTCTAAAAAAGACAGTTTACTGCAGAAAGGTGGTGGTGGTGGGGAAAAAGTCATCATCATGGCTAGGCTTCGCGAACGAAGATTTGGGGAAAAAGTATGATTCTGAGAAAAAACAAAAGCTCTGATCTTGGGAAAACCCCACAGGGAGACGACATCATGAAGAAAGCCAGCAGTAGCTGCCAGCCACTCAGGCACACTCTGGTCCTGCTCTCCTGTTTGAGTTGTAGTTTGCTGTACTTAATTTAGGACCAGTTTTTGTTTGTCAGTTTTGCACAAATGGGGACAACAGACCTAATTTTGACCCATGCTGTAGGAAGACAGGAATATTTATACTCATGGAAAGGGATCTAAAATACTCTCTTGACAGAGCAGTTGGGCCATATTACAAGGGGGACACAAGGCTGCATGATGCAACATCTGGAACATTTTCAGTGATGGCTTCAGTGCACCTGACAGCAGCCACTCAACATCCTGAAGGCCTTGTTGCTCTATGGGGACAGGTCTCTTAGCCTCACTGTTCAGAAAACCTGACCTGCTCCACAGAAAAAAAACCAATATTGCCAAAAGCTTCAGATATGGACTTAGTAACAGAGCCTTTTCTTAGTTCTGAGATGGTACTTCAGAGCCCAGCATGCATCTTGCTCTCAAGGAGGTCAGGCACTTGTGATACTTCCTCTAGTTGTAGCAGCAGCAGAAGCAGAATCTGCTGAACAGGGATCAGTTTTGAAATACTCAATTTTTTAAGGCTTAAGGTCTGTCTAGGCTGTAACACAAATGCTCTCCAATAGTTCCAGAAACTCAAAGCTACACACCAGAGCAGAGAGTGACCAAGACAGTCTGGAAGAGATGAGGTTTTACAGAAGCTGCACACAAATTTAGCCAACAGGAGTATGGAGATCAATCACCAACAAATGATCCTTTTAGACTATGTACATCAAGTTGACAAAATAGCAACAGCATGAATATCAAAGGAGCATGTTTCTGCCTGATGTAGGGCTCAGCAGTGAAAGGTTCACCCAGGAAGCGTGGCTGTGTGAGACTCAAGAGAAGTCCCTTGTCAGCTCTTCAGTCCACCTCTTACATATGGTACCTGAGAAAAAATCAGGCTTTTATATGAAAACAGGCAGAAACAAGCTCTCAATCTTGCAGTCTTTCGTTTTTAGTCATACCTGAATGTCACTTAACATAACACATTGTTAGCTGAACACCAAAGCTTTAGCTGAACATTTCTGGACAAAGAGTGAGAGCTTATCCTTAAGGAAAAAGGAGACAGTAGCTGAGATTTTTCCATGGGTCCCACCAGTGTGGGATATAAAGCTTCCAAATTTTGTGTCACAATAATTGTGATAATGCCTCCACCACATGGGTGCCAGAGAGCAGGCACTTGCGTTTCTGCGCTGAAACTTACAGGCAGAATAAAGGAAAATTAAAAAGACTTTGGGCTTTTGTCAAGTCCCCAGGCCAGCATGCTGAGAGACAAGCAAAGAGCAGGACAAAATGCCCTCTGATCTTACTGCATGCTGTTTGCAGCAGAAGTCCTGCTCCAGTGCCCCTTTTCTCAGTAGGTGTATTTTACATGCAACCACCGGAAAGCTCCTCACCAAAAGGACCACTCAGCAAAAGTTTAACTGAGATCAAAGTTCTTATTAAAATTCCTCTCTGATAACACTTGAGCACCCCCAAAGCCCTGGAGCTTTATGGTCAGCATCTGCAGGGCACAGAGGCAGGAGATTCACTCCAACATACCTGCACTGACAAAAGTGCAGGCACGCTGCTGGAAGAGGACTGTTGCAGAGCCTTGTTTTGTAGTACAACAGGTTTGTAAGAAAGGCAACTCCCCCAGCTCCTGCCTTCCTCCCCATTCCCCCTCCTAACCCCTGGTCTGCTCCCTCTCCTCACAACCAGTATTCATAGCTGGAAGGAGGAAATGATCTGGAATAACAATCCTGAAAACAAATAATCCCACAATGCATTTATTCATCACACATTTGATTTTAAAAGGCAGATCAGATCCTGGCTCTCCCTTCTTATGTGGCTGTACAACAGTGGCACCCCAGCGTGCCTCCAGCCGAGGTTCCCACATCCTTCTTCCTTTAATCTGTGCTTTTGCCACCTGTTACTCATATCCCTAATTACCAACTTCTGCAAGGATAATGCAGAACAGTGTCTTGCACTGCAGTCTGAAGCTTTAACATATTTTGTTATATAGATGATGTCATAACATTTCTCAAGATTAGCTGACACAATTCATAGTTAAAAATAATACCACTGCAGGGTTTCCCTTTTTAACTCAGAGAAGATGTCCCAGGAGACTTCTGGACAAGTACTGCACATGGAGAAAACGGAGTGCTAGTCAGCAGGGCTTGCTACCAAAACCTGCATGTCTGCAACCGGCAGTTCAATCCAAATACTGCCAACTATAACAGAAAAGTCTTTAGTGCAAGCGTAGAGGCATTTTATCAGTCCTGCCTGGCTTTTGTATTTTGTATTTCTTTTTCTTTACAAAGAAATGCTAAAGTATATTTTAATTTTAGACACCAGAAAACTACTAACTCCTTCTAAAACAGGTGTTCTCTCACTATGGTTGTTAATGCAGGATGCTGAGCTTTCTGTAGGGTAACTTCTAGCTTAAGGAAACTCCAGATGGGGAGAGACAGATTCGGTTGAGCACAAAACATTACAGGCTCCAGTGAACTCAATTCAACATGCAAGTCAAGAAATGCTGACGTGCTTGCTCCAGATTTATACCTGCGCAACTCCCATCAGAAACAGGCTTCAGACCTCCAAATAACACATCCTTTCACATCGCGAAAGATGGTACAAACCCCCCCTTAAAGCAAGGCCCTGCAGTTTGCTTTTAAATTCAAGATCCTGTGAAGAAGAGCTGCTAAAACACCCACACAGCTCAGTCTGGGGCACTTCCTAAGCCTCTAGTGTGAGCAAGCAGAACAAAGCGAGGCTGGAGACAGTTCTCACCTGCAAGAGAGCACATTTGCATGAGCCACTTCAGTCCCCACAACATTTTTCTTTTTTTGCTTGCTTTTGCATAAAGAAGCATCTCTGTCCTGGGCCCTTCCCCCACTGACCTTTTATTCCAAGCAGGGCAGGATGCTGCAAAGGAAGGACCTGAGGTGCAAAAACAGCCGCAGCCTCTATTCACAGGAGATCAATGATCTCTTAGCAAGGGGGATATTAGCAACTAGTATTACTTACTATTTCTTTGTGTGGCTCAGCTGGTATGTTTTTTATCAAGTGCTGCAGAGGTTTCATAGGTTGTTTAAAGGCAGAAAGTTTAAGGTTTAATCACATACTGAAAAAAAAACTAGAAAAATCTCCCTTATCCAGGACTTAAACCAAAAGGAGACAAGAAACAAGGGAAATGGCACTAACTCCTCTGCTACCACATAGTTGGCTTTACTTTACAAGCAGAATGGGTCTCCCTTTTGTTCAGGCATCCAGCAGGCACAAGGATCCAGCAGGGATGGGTTCCAGGAATTTATACTGAAGAGGGGCTACAGGATGCTGGAAGCAGACCCAGACAGAGGCAGGCTCAGAGAAACAGGGCACCACCAGCATTACCTGTCTATATGTGGGAATTGTCTCCAGATATACTTTCAGAGTCATAGTCTGCCAGCTCTGTCTGGCCTTCGGGTGCCGTTTGGCTCCAGCTGTCTGTACAGTCCGACGCAGCGTCGTCCTCACCCACCGTCACCTCCACCCAGTTCACCTCCGCCGGCTCCTCGTTCTCCTCGCTGCCGTGGCCGTCGTGGCTGTTGCAATCCACCCTGTCCATACTCTCTCCTTGATTCCCCAACAAAGAATCTTTCAGTGGTTCACAGTCTCTTTTTGCTCTCACCACTGGTTTACCTCCATTCTCTTCATTCAGTTTTTTATGATCCTGGTAATGCTGCCGAGACACCTCGTTACCGCTCTTTGGACTCTCAGCGTGTTTGGAGCCCTTTTTCTGGCTTTGCTTGTTATGACCATCAACAGCATACTGCTGCTGGTACTGGTCAATCCATTTAAGTGACCCTGTTCTTAGTGAAGACCGGTTTTCCTTGAACCAGCGGACTATTTCAGTTCTTGTGAGCCCAGTCTGAGATGCTAACTGGTCATACTCCTGGGGCGATGGCCACTGGGTCCTTGCAAATGTACTTTTCAGTAGATGAATCTGCTCTTGTGTTTTCTTAAACGTGGTTGAGGACACAGATAAAGCACCAGGAAGCTGAGAGCCACTCAGAAGTTCTGCCTGGCTTATTGCACCATTGGGAGTTCCTTTTGCTTTAATTTTTCTGTATGATCCCATTGAGTCCAAGACAGCTTGCTCCATGCTGTCCCTTATCTTTCTCCGCTCAGAGAACCACGAATCTATCTCCCTCCTACTCAGCTGAGTCTCCACTCGAAGCCTGTCCAATTCTCCTTGGGTAGGAAAAGAGCATCTTAGGAAACTCTCCTCAAGGGCCCTACGCTGCTCTTGGGTTATCTCTTTGAATCTCTGGGGAGTGAAATCTGTGTATGGGTGAAACGACCAGCCACGTCGACCAGCTGAAGGTGCTATTTGATCTTTCCCTAAAGCATCGCCAGGAATTTGCACAATGCCCCTCTGACTTCTGTACCTGTGGTCACTGAACCACTTCTTGATCTCACTCCTGGAAAGACCGGTTGCCTCTATAAGCCGGTAGACTTCTGCATCGTCAGGAAACTGGCTTGCCATGAAACTGGCCTTTAGCTCTGCTATCTGCTCCTTCGTCTTCTTCCGCTCACTGGCTGGTGTCAGCGGCACAGCTGTCAGCTTGGCAGGAATCTCAGGCACCTGAACTACGTGAGGACGCTTGGCCTCTGGGGCACTTGATAAGGTCTGTATTGTCCTCTTTTGCCCCTGGTTTGGGGCAACAGCGAGTGTAATCGGTGAACAGGAAACAGTTGAACCATTTGACACAGGAGTCAAAACCAGACCAGTCTGGCCCAGTATCTGACAAGGCAAAGCTGTCTGGATGATGGGCTGCGGCATTTTTGCAGTTGCCAAAGGAGCTGGTAGGACGGTGATGGTTTGGGGAACTGCCTGGATAGTACCATTGAACATTTTCTTTCTTGCCTCCTCCACTTCTTCAGGAGACCAACTTATACCATGCTTCAAACGCTGCGTAGCAAACCAGATTCGGATTTGCTCTTCCGGATGTTTCGATGCAGCTGTCAACCATGACAACTCTGCTTGTGTTGGGTACGGAAACTTATTAAAGGAGTTGATCATGGTTGCATTAGTGTCCAGTGCAGAGTTGTATTTGGTACTGTTCAGAGGGACTGGGACCTTGGGGACAAGGTTGATATTTGGTGGTAGCTGTACAGAGGGCATAACATGGGCTAACACATCTTGGAGAAGGTCTCCATTTATACAAGCAATAGCTTCAGTGGCTTCAGTTATGATACGGGGGAGAGCACCATCCACGTGGTTTTCCATAACTCCCTCTTCTGGCTTTTTCGATCCCTTCTTGGTTTCCCCTTTAGGCTTTCCCAGTTTCATCATTGGCACTTTATTTGTGCTAATTCCCCCATGATGTGAATCATCACACTCTGCATTTTCTAGCCCCCCACCCGTGACAGCAACATCATTAGTGGTGGTCTCAATGGACTGTTCTAAAACAGTCTGATTATTGCGTTTAATTAATTTCAGTTTAAAGTTAGTCTCTCCCGGGTGGTATTTTGTGTTGTGGTCAGATAAAGAATCATATTTTTTGGTTGTGAAGTTGCATTCAGCACAGACATACAGGGGATTGAGAATGACATTTGGATGCTGAGTGTCAACATGCTCTGTAAATTCATTTAAGTTTTGTGTTGAGTAAGGGCAGTACTTACACTCATAACCACCCTGGGGTTTCTTAGACTGATTTTCAGCTGGGGGCTTTGCCTCAACCACTTCACAGTCTTTGACTGAGTTTTCTGAAGGCCAGTTTTTTTTGGAATCCTGCTGTGGTGTGCCAGTCCCCTTCTCTTTAGAAGTTTCTACACCCTCAGCGCCTTCCTGCTCCACGACTTCAGAAGTTCGCACCATACAGGGAGTTGTCGACTTTCTTTTGCTGGCCATGGCAGCCACTGGCAGCACACTGTTGCCCCAAATGCTGTCTTGTTTTGACAGGATGAGCGACCAACTCAGTAGATCTTGCAAACAGCTCCAAAACACCTTGATTATTTTATTCTGTTTTGCTTAATGAATTTCTGCCCTGGTTGTGACCATCAGCTCCACGAGTGTACCTGTCAGCTGCATGACACCTGTGAAACAAAGCACACCTTATCAGGTACTGATTTAACAGAGATTTATCAGAAAGCCACAGCTTGTATGCGCATTTGTAAGGGTATTTTGGATAATGACAAACTCTTCCTCCTCCCCATCATCATATTAAGAGTCAAAGATCTCCCCATGAAGAATAAAAGCAGTGGGTAAATTGCAATGAAGTGCACCACAGGAAGAAAATTACTTTGAAACAAATAAGATGAACAGACAGGGGATTTTAATTTCCACTAGACTCAATGTGTTTAGCTGGAAAAGAAAGAAGATACTGCTATAAATACTGCATCTTTTTATAGAAGCCGCAGTTTCTATTAATTATTATTTTGAAGCCTGCAGATTTGAAATTGAGTGTGATTTATATTAAACTTAATTACTTCCCACTGTCACTTACCTTGTAAATATGTCTACTAAGTGACTGTGGTTACTAATGACAGGTGATTTCTAAATAAAGCTGCCTTGGTTGTAAAAGTAAAGGCATAAAGAAGAGTTAATGTAAATCAACACTTCCTAAGGTCTGTGCCTTAAGGAAAAGTGGGCTCAAAGAAACTGCAGCCGATCTGTGGAGGCCTATTAAGTCTTTTCTGGAAGAAAAGTTTCCTTACAACACCACTTTTCACTCAACATTGACAGAGGTAGCTACCAAAGGTATCAGAAGCCCTTAGATACCTTTTAAACATGGTCCCTTCCTGTGATAGTCTCACCAAGTCCCAATTTGTGCATTTTATTCTCTACAGAATTTAAAAAAGGAAAAAACACAAAACTAAAACCCAAAACATTTTAAAGCACAATTCATATGTTGAAGTAGTTTTGGAAGTTCCCAAATGCAAGAATTCTGTAAAATAAGTTTCAAAAGGATCTGATGCCAACATGAGTCAAACAAAAGCATGAAGAAAAACTACACCAGTTGTTTCAGGATCTACCTGCACTCATCAGGAGTGGGTGGAGCAAAAGAGAGGAATTTAGCTGTCAAAAGTTTCATTAATCAAAAGAAGATAAAAAAAGGTCACTTTCCTATTTGACAGGATGCTTTTTCTAATTTATCACTGAATCCAATTTGCTATTCTTCCTGATCAGATGGTCTCTGGTTTCATAATAATTCCCAATCTTAACGGAAAACTCAAGAAGTACTTGGAATGGGATGGGAGAGGCACTGAGGTTTACAAATTGGAGGAGGCTGGAAAGTGGAGATTTGCCGAGTGGGTAAGGTCTGCACTGATTTCTGTAGAAGTGTACTAAATGGAGAATCTGAAACAGAGATCCAATGCAAGATGTCCCTGCCCATTATAGGGGAGATGGACTGGATGATCTCTGAAGATCCTTTCTAATACAAACCATTCTGTGAGTCTATCATCTCATATCTAACCAAATGCAGGTTTTCTCCTTGTGAAGCCTGTAAATTATAAGCTGCAATCAGAATACAAGATATAAAGATCTAATGAAATAAAATTCCACTGCAGTTACATCTGGACACATCAGCAGTTTATAACCACCCAAATGCTGTCCCTGAGCCTTCTCCTCTTGCTTAAGCCCTGGCATGAGAGTCAGAAATAGCCACTGTAAAAGCAGCAGCTAACTTCTTGGTTCTGTCTGTAGCTGAGGAATACTCTGCAGGTCTCTAGAGCACATTTCTGCTGCTCTGCCTATCACAGATCATACCACTTCTGTATATATGGAAACTCAAAATGATATACTGCCAGAGGAAGCACCTCCAGCTGGGAATAAGAGCAGGGATGGCAGCTTCCAGCTCCATGTACTCAAACTCCAGTGTGAAGCAATTCTCCATACACAAAACACTTCATATGCGAATTCTCCATGCAGCACCTTCACAGATAAGGCTCTGGTGAAAACACAAGCCGTGAAACACCAAACACACCACAGACAAGATGCCATGCAGACACTTTGTTACAGTGCAGATGCCTCAGCATATCTGTACAGTGCTTTGTGCTCACAGCCACTGCCACCCCTGCACTGCCCAGCCCTGACAGAGACCAGTGATGCTCCTGCACACTTGCTCTGATGTGATGAAGCATGAGACCATTGGTTGACTTTCAGGGGTGCATTTAAGCTCCTAGTGTGCTTCTCTGGGAAATGGAGCATCTTTGCTGAGCTCCATGAAACAGAGATGGGGCTGCCCACGGGCTTATGGCTCTGCCTTGGTCAGGATTAGAGTGCCATTTCCCTCCAAACTGGGATCACCAGTGTTGTCATCACCATTCCCCAAAGCGTCAGCACCTCTGAGCCAAAATTTCCTCTTCTGTTTCCCTTTTTTCCTTCTGCCTTTTAATAATAAACAAGCAGATGAACAGTGGAAGAAATGATGCCTGGTTTTCTGTAGATTTGTGCTGACTGACCTTTAAACTGGATTACACAGAATATTCCCTATCATTTCCATCTCTTCCTTCAAAATTCCCTTCTGCTTCCCCTCACAATTATCTTCCCTCAGATATTTTGGCAGTGATCTGCGTCTTGCTCTGTCCCACTTAAGAAAGGACCAGAAGCTAGAGACAAACACACAACTGTCCAAACACCCATCTTCCTGGTCACCAATGTTTAATCACACTTGCAGAAAATGAATTATCTTTGAAGCTTCTTCCCTTATAGTAAATTTGGCTGAAACAGGTCAAAAGATAAGAGAAAGGGGCAGAATGGGCTCTGAAAGCCTAGCTGCTGCTGGAAACAGAGTGAAGGTGATCAGGTCACCCCACTCTTCCCTGGAGATCCCACTACATTTGTGACACCGACTTTCTCAGATGAGGGAAGGGAGGTGTAAGGCAGTGCCCTGGGCCACGGCAATGAAGATGCGGATGGAGCCATGGCTCCCAGGATGCTCCCCTGTGGCTTGCTCTCTCTCCCAGGCCACAGCTGTACCTAATGGTCTGCTCCTTTTCTAATGTATGACCTCGTGCAAAATTCATGTGGCAACATCAGCAAAAGGAAGAAAATTCGAAAGACATCAAAGACAGAGCAAGGCTTATTTATATTTCACTGAATATCCCCCCTCCTCCACAAGAAGAAAGGCTAAGAACAAAAAGATAAAACAATGGGATGGAAGAGTGGAGAAGAAGACCTTGATAAATCAGAGGACTAGGCAATCACGAACTATATGAAGTTCAACAAAAGGTGGTGTTGGATTCTGTACCTGAGATGGGGCAACCCTGGATGTATGTACAAACTGGGGAAAGAATCACCAGTTGGTCGAGGAAGGGGATTGTCTCATTTTGCTCTGCACTGGGGTGGCCTCACCTTGAATATTGTGGCAGTTTTAGGCACCACAATGTAAGAAAGATATTAAGCCATTAGAGAGTGTCCAAAGGAGGGCAATGAAGATGGTGAAAGACCTTGAGAGGAAGCCGTATGAGGAGCGGCTGAGGGCATTTGGTCTGTTTAGCCTGGAGAAGAGGAGACTGAGGGGAGACCTCATTGCAGTTACAACTTCCTCCTGAGGGGAAGAGGAGGGGCAGGCACTGATCTCTTCTCTGTGGTGACCAGTGACAGAACTCAAGGGAATGGCCTGAAGTTGTGTCAGGGAAGGTTTAGGTTAGATATTAGAAAAAGGTTTTTCACCCAGTGGGTGGCTAAGCACTGGAACAGGCTCCCCAGGGAAGTGATCACAGCACCAAGTGGGACAGAGTTGAAGAAGCATTTGCACGATACTCTTTGGGAACACGGTGTGACTATTGGGGATGGTCCTGTGCAGGGCCAGGAGTTGGACTTGATAATCCTTATGGATCCCTTCCAACTCAGCATATCCTGGGATAGTCTACGATCTAGGTTACAACTTTGAATCAGTCAAAGGTTTCTTAAAAGTCAGACTTAATGTTCTGAATTCCTCAGTCTCTGGATACTCAGCAAGCTCTCTGCTGCACTCAGTTGCTGAGCTGATCTCCCAACTCTTCTCAGGACAGGAGGACTGGCCCCAAACAAGGATGTTCTCATACAGAGGAAGGGCCAAGGTCCCTCCAAAACATATATAAGTGGGTGGAAACATAAAAAAGTCTGTTTGCTACAGTTTTTCTAGAAAATTGTACAGATTGTTGTTTCTCTTACATCTTCTATTCCACATAGTGGTTTTCTGCATGTCTAATTGCTGGTTTCTAACCCTATATTTTGAATAGTTTTTTCTGCCACACAAGAATCACTATCCACCATAGAAATCAAGCTCAAGTCAAATGCTGCTTTCTGGAGGTCAGTAAAAAAAACAAATGACTTTTAGTCCAAGATGTGCAGTTCTGGGTGCTCATAACCATATAGAGACTGTCTCTGTCCCTTCAACCCACACCCTGAAAGACGGGGAGGAAAAGAGGCCCAGCAGCTGCATAAGCAAGATGAGTTTATTGGGACCTCCAAGCTATGGTCCTTCCAGGACCTCAGTAGGGATGTCATTTGGCATAAAACAATACACAATTTCAAAGGAGGATGGGTCCCCCTCCCCATGACAGATCCCTGGGAGCTGCATCATATACATTTGCAGGTCCTGCCACATCCCATCTGAGGACATTAGAGAAAGCATAAGAAGCATCTCACAGCTTTCAAACGTGAGCTGCTTGCCAGAACATCAAAGCCCCAGCAGACAGTTTTAAATACATGGTGTTGCTCCTGACAAAGCTGCTAAATGATGCTACTTCAGCTCCTCCAATTCAGGAGTGAGGCAGCTCTCTCAGGCTGTCAGTCCACTGGAATTCAGCAGGCAGGCAAACCTGACCCCACAAACCTTTGGACTTTACTTACAGATGGCAAAGACTACCAATATTTGCAGGGAGGTTACCCTACAGTAATGGCTTAGCAACCAGCACATCCTGATGGGAACCCAAGCTACACTTCATCACCTGAGCTGTGTCCACAGCACATATATCCTGTCAAGGAGCAAAATCCATATCTGATGTTCAATGAATAGGGCTGCACCATGGTTAGGTCAACCTCTATCCCTAGAGCTGACTCTGTTCAGTCTATTATTATTGTTTTGTTATGGACAAGACCCTGG